AAAGCTGTTTGGGAGAGAGAATACAGAGTTATTTGGTAAAGCAGTATAAATAAATGTGGTGCTTTTAAGCTTTAGTATGGTCTCAGCAGAACCTTATCAGCAACCTCAACAGCATTAAGGCAGAATGATTCCCCCCCCCCCAAAAAAAAAAAGTATTGAACTAACCTCAAAATCAGAATAGATTGAGATTATTGTCATTGTGTAAGAATTTGAGTTAGATAAAGATGGATACATGTTCTTTTTGATCTGTGGTGAAGATATAAATATATTTACGTACTGGGCTTACAGCGGCTTACATACTGGTATGTGTGATCAGCAACGTTCTAGCTGACACTGAGGTTGTGTTGAATGCTTTGTTTTTTTTTATTTCTTCTCTGTGCTTTTTTTTATTTAATCGTCTGATAGCGTCGGGACAGAATGTCACTGTACCCAATTCTTTTATAATTTCCTTTGTTTCTTTTCCCCTTGTTTTTTGTATTAGTGTTAATGTAGACGTATCTGAAACTGCTGCAGCTTCTAGAAGTGTAGTAGCATCGCAAGTGTAGTAGCATCACAGGTTTTTTTTTAGTTGTTTTTGTGTGAGATAATCCTTTTATGTGAGATAATCCTTTTAACTGTTGAATTGTGTTCAGAAACAAATTGTAAAGTACATAGTTTGTGGCAGAAGTTTGTATAAAGCATGAGATTAAGAATTAAAGTTACTCCAGCATAAAAACGTAGAGAGGTAAGTTGAACAGAGATGGCTTATGTTCTGTCTTTTGTGCTGGGGATCTTGGCATATTTTATTTAATTTTTCAGTATAAGCAAGGAAATGTTAATTTTAAAAGGTAGGATGCTGTAATAGACTTGCAAATTATAGTAAAAAAATTAAGTATCCTGTGAAGTAGTAAGCAAAATGATTTTGGTGACGAGCCATGCCTGAAACTACTCTTTTGGAGGCACATAATAAGCAATCATCTGCAATACCTATGTGAACCTGAAGATGCGACAAGTGTAGCAGAGTACTCTCTGAGTATGTATTCAGAAAAATGTTAATGCTCTCCCTTTCTTAGGTACAGCTTCATGGCAGCTTTGAATTAGTTTTGATAGTGCAGGACATTTTCCAAAGGTGTATTTTTGCCCAGCAGCATGTAACAGCTAATTTGAAGTCATTGCAGTCCATCATGACAATGACTACTTAGGGACTCTTAAATTCAGGGGTTATTCACATGCTGTATGCATGCACAAGATATTTGTGTATTGGGAATCCTTGAAGGAAAAATTATTGTGAAGGAAGCTGCATGGACTGTCCGGCATGCAACACAAACCACCGCCTTTAGTGAAACAATTTGTCACCTTAAACAGACTGTGCTTCCGTCTTACCCTCCAGTAAAAGAGAAAGAAGTCTGTTCAGTTTAGTTAGCTCATGAAGTTAATAATAATTCTGTTTCTTCTAAATCAGATTGTATTTTTGAGAGTATCTATGGGGAGGGAAAAGAAGAGCCACCGTGGAAGAACTGAAACTCAACTAGGAAAACACCATTTGGGGTGAATACTTCCCAGGCATGTAGACAGTATCTCTTTCTGCCAGAAAAGAGGCAATGGAACTGAGTTTTTCGTTCTGTTTGTTGTTGTTTCTAAATCAGAGCGTCTTCCTGGAAGAGCTGCTGGTGCTCAGCTCCGAAGTGGGGAGTCTGCTGTGCTCTGTGCCTGCTGAGTGGTGGTGTTTTTTCCATCTTTTAAATCCACATTGAAAGAAATAGCATTGAGTTATCTAGCGATAGCTGAAGGTATGTCCAGACAGCACAGGAATGTAGAGTACAAGCTTCCCCTCATAAGCCTAAACCTTCCTCCCTGCTGCCCACGACTCGACCCCTTCTTGAGCTCTCATTGCTTTAATTGGGGCGCAGCAGAGCGAGGTAAATATTAGTTTTGTGATAAACAGCAGTACTGAAGCAGAAGAGTTATTCCCTATGACCTGAAGAGAGGATTTGAATTGGGCCTTGTAAAGTGAAAGGTTTCATTCTTTCTAGAGGTAAGCTCTTTTCAAAGGATTGAATTAGGCCCGTAATTCTCTGTAAAATGTAGTTTTCTGATTTTTGGAGTGTTCTTAAGAGGTATTTGTGTATAGGAAAAATGCTTCATAGAAGGAATTGCCATTAAACTTTCATTTCATTTTGTTACAAATGTAACTTTCTGATACTATTTTATCAAAAGGTAATGGTATCTGTTACCCTTCTGTTACTTGAATAAGTTTCAGAAACAACTCAGCTTTGATGGTGTTCTTACTGGTGTTATTAGAAGCAATTTCTTAACATAAAATCAATATTTTTAAGAGTAAGAGTTGAAGTAAGTTGAACTTGTGTGGAGAGAGCATTATAGTCTCTAGTCAATGTTTTAAGTCTGCTTTTAGTCTCATATACTGTGAGTTTTTTTAATTTTAACAGCAATTTTAATCCTTTTCAGTGGTGTGTTTGAGATCATAGGCTAGCGATGCTTTTTAACTGCAGCTTCTCCAGCTAAATTTTAAGTGTATGTGTATATGAGGGTAAGGTGAGAATGAAATATGACTTTCTTTTCTAAATACACTCTGAGTATATTTGTGCTGAGATATAAATTGTTTGAGTTTTTAATGTACTGGCAGTACAGATTACGAGTACGTTTCCTATACTGGTAATAGAATCTAGTAGCCAAGGAAAGAACCATTTGGGCAGCAGTGGTATAATGCATTATATTTGTGGCAAGCCCTAGTTTAATGATCTGAGTGCTAGTAAAACAGAAGTCCAAAGGTGGATTCACTTTGTAAAATGGATCCTTACTTCTTTCCTCATAACTTCTGGAATAAATGAGGCATTGAGAATATTTTCAAATAAGTAAGGCACAGAACATTTTTGAAATATCGACGTTAAATCTCTTTTCTACTACCCAGCAAAATTACTAATCAGAAAATTGAGACATACATGTCTCACTAACCTGCAGAATGTGTTACACCTTCTTTAAATTATTTAAGAAGTACACTCCTATTGTACTAGAGCATCTGCTCTACTCAAAGGAATTTTTGGATCCCTGCCAGAAGGGATTTGTGCTAGCAGTTAGGAAAGTTGTTTTCATTTTTATGAGAAGCAGCGTCGTCGAGCCACAAACTATTGTGACCTGTTTGCCGCAGAGAAACTGATTAAAAATGCAATGGTGGACTATATCTGGATGGTTGAAGCTGAAGTCAGGAGTGCTGGACTTTGCATTTCTGTTGGGTAATGCTGTTCTTGCAATTACTCATCTCCGCAGTGTATCTGCTAATAGATGTAATGAGAAGCATAACATATGTGAAACAGTGATGAACTTTTTCACCAAAACAATATTGCAATATATGGGTAGTGCTGTGGTGCTACTACAGCTTTTCGTTCAAGAGCTCGGTGGAGATAGGGGATGCTGTAGCTTGTTCTGGTGAAACAGGTACAGGCTGTAAGGGAAGGTTGGCACTGGGACCCTCTTTCCCAGCACAGATCCCTTCCACATCCCCTACCTTTCCAGGGGTCCCAGATTCTTATAGGGTGTCCCCTCCTCTGGCACCTTTCTCCATTTCAAGACTTCAGTGGTGGTTTTTGGGGGATGTTTGAGGAGGGTGGAGGACAGGGTCCAGTTTCCAGTTCTGCTGCCTTGGAGTAGGGGAACTGAGTAGGGAGGAAATGCAGAAGGACAGAAGAATGGTGTGTCTAAGTGGCTGCACAGAATGGTACAGAGCAAGGCACAAAATTAGTATTGTTGAAACTTCAGTATTATCAACACCTAATAGTTCTGATGTTGTGAGAGCTTACCCATACCATATTGCTCATCAGTACTGTAAAATAATAATAAAAAAATTATTCTGGTGGGTAATGGAGAGGAGGTGTTGGGGGTGTATTATTTTGCAGTGATGGTGGGATTCATTTGTTAACTTATTTTTAGTACTGAAAAATTTACATGGGAAAAGTATATAACCACTTTATTTCCAAGGTATTCTGCAGTCAGACGGAGCCCCTGCGATGCATTCAGGGACAATCCAAGCTTCCCACATCCCTATTGTGATGCATTACGTACAAATGTTGAAGCTGTCTAACTGTTAGTGACCATGTAGTCAGAGTCGTGATACTGTGTTGGTAGGAATCTAGGAATACTGCAGATGGGTTGGAAAGTGCATTTGTGGAGAAAAGATGATGAGTATTAAAAAGCAGAGTGAAGAAAATGAGGAATGCGAAAAGAAGAAGGGAAATGGACCTAGGATCTTTTCTCAGACATTTAAAGTCTCCAGTGCACTTCCAGGTGCACGCGTACATATATTGTATTTGTACATGTGTGTACATGCATGCAGTTAACTGGAAAGTGCAGTTGACGTGCATTATTGTACTAGAAATTTATAAAGAAGGGATAATTGTCAGGTTTCAGCGTATGCGTGTGTGTATATGAGGGTGGTTTGTTTTGCTTGTCATGTTCTTCCCCCTGTCCACCATTTACATACTTGAGCTGTTGGTGGAAGAGGGGTATAAAGCGTACATAAAAACTGTGAAGAAGTATTACCCAGTAGGTGGTAAGACACAGTCCTTTTGGAGATGTCCATCTTTTGAGTCTGGCAGATGGAAGGATGGAGGAGCAGCAGCTGTGAGTGGAATCTGGAAGGGGGCACAGGGATCTAGAGGCAAATGTAAATAGGAGGATTACTGGCTCAAAGAAAACATCTTGTCATGCATGCATGTGTGTGTAATAGATCCTCCTTTTAGTCCAGTCTGCATGTGGTGTGGATGTATTAATGCCTTGGTCAGAGGTGTATTTCTGTAGTCTGGACTCAGGCTTTTAACTTTCAAAGTCTCTGACACAGTCTCTGTGGTATCAGACCAAATGATAGATGCATCTACGTGCAGGTTTTTGGGTTTTATTTTTTCTTGGAAAACTTTTGCAGCATGAGCAGAGACTAACTTATGAGAACTGCTAATGAAGGGAAAGCAAAAATAAATTGCTCTGTTCTTCCCTCTCCTCTTTTTCTGTAGGATCTCGCCTTCGCCAGGAGGACTTCCCACCGCGGATCGTTGAGCATCCTTCAGATGTGATAGTGTCTAAAGGAGAGCCAACAACGCTGAACTGCAAAGCTGAGGGACGGCCAACCCCCACCATTGAGTGGTACAAGGATGGTGAGCGAGTGGAGACTGACAAAGACGATCCGCGCTCCCACCGCATGCTGCTGCCCAGCGGATCTCTGTTTTTCTTGCGCATTGTGCATGGACGCAGGAGTAAACCTGATGAAGGAAGTTATGTTTGCGTAGCAAGGAACTATCTTGGAGAAGCTGTGAGTCGCAATGCATCTCTGGAAGTGGCATGTGAGTAAACTTTTATATGTTTAGCACCATGTAAAACTTTATAGTTAGTGTGGTGTTGTCATCCAGCACTTGCATGCGGTCAGCAAGTTGGGAGATGATAAATGTAGATAAGTACAGTATTTTGTCATTAACTATCACTCTTAGTCAAGTAATTTCTACATGCATTTATTCAGTGGCAGTAACTGTACAGAATACATGATTTATACTGAAGTAGGGTTCTAGCCAGTGTGTAATGATGATTGACGCGAATATGGACAAAGGCTAATCTTCCTTTAAAGAATAATCTAATTTTTAAATTATGACTCAAGTTGGTTATACTGAAGCTAACATGGAAAAATAACTATCATTTAATATAAGGTGCAGTGTCTGTTTCTCTTTATCTAGTCATCTGTTACTTCAGCAGAAATGGCAGTTTCTTGGTGACTCATGTTCTGTGCTGCTGGAAACCTCAATACCTTCAGCGTGCTCCTCTGTCATAAACTTGATACAGGCCTCATTTATTATGTGAATGGCGTGTGAAATTATTGGCCGTTTCTCATATCGTCCAGAGCAGTCTTATTCTTTATCAATTCTCTCTGTCTTAACAGAGAAGTTGTCACGGCTCTTTCAGAGACCACCCAGCGTGCGTGCTCTGCTTCTAGTAGAGTTAGCAGAAACATTCATTTTATTCACATATGAAACAAACTCATCACGCATAAGATGCAACATTGTTGTATGTTATTCCTACTTAGTTTTATGGCTTAAAAAACCCTAATTTTGATCATTCAAAATCTCAGCAACGGATAGCTGTGTATCTTCATTTAAATGTATGTTTTAATAATTTTATAAATGCGATTCTCTTCTTGAACCTCAGTTTTCCCCACAGCGTTCTTCGTTTGGCAATAGCACTGAAACATATGTTTGACTTAAGTAGGGCTTCAGCGCAAACCTATATCACTTAGTTTACACTTTAGGAGGCATGTTGGTTCAGTTTCCTTAGGGAAAAAAATATCCCCCCAAAAGAAAGTTTACCACTGCAAGTCCACAGACTTCTATAGCTAATGTTATTTAATCTAGAAATTTCAGTATGAAATATTTAAATGGAGGCATAGCTAAGTAGAAGAGTCTTATTCACTGCCTCTTGCTTCTCATAACCTAGATTCAGAACTTTCAAATGAAAAAATGAAAACAGTTTTTTCTTTTGGCACTCAATCAAGCCACCAATATATCTTTATCCAATCCACAAAGGCATCGAAGAATGTTAATTGGGTTAGGCAAACATTTAGAAATCACGAAGAGGAAGGCAAATTTAAGAAGGGTAAACATGTCTCTAGATACATTTATTGGAGTATTTCTGGATTTACACATGTGGTTTTAAGGTGTCTGTTGAGAAAATCTGTGAGAGGCGTACGAATTTTGAAATCTCTATTTTCTTACAGTCCTGCTGAGATTAAGACATCTCCTGTCTGTGTTCATAGGGTAGTGCAAGATACGCCTTGGGTAATGAAATTAAACAGGTTATTTTGAAATACAAAGGTGCTCTGTATTTCATCAGTTTTCAATGATCCCTACTTCGGTGTCTGATATGAGGCTCTTATTACAGTATACCCAGTTTCTGGAGTTAGTTTTAACCACTGCAGCTGGTGGCAGGTCATGCATGAACTGTATGTGAGATAATAGAAGACGGTAAAAATAATAAAAGCAGGTTTCATTGTCGGAGGTATTTTAAGACAGGATCATAGAACATGAAATTTGAGATCTGAAGTGATAAACAAAGTTTTTGCTCTAGCAACATGCACCTGACAGCAGATTATTTCACTGTTTTCGTAGCTTTGAAGTTTGACTGATTTAATTTTCCGATTAAACTGTGGGTCTATAGCAGACATTCCGGCTCCACTTTTAAATTTAATAGTGCTTTGTCTTTCCTTGAACCGCACCATGGTTATGATTACAGGAAGGTTTTCATAAAAGAAAAATGGTAAATAAAGAAACAGTGTAAAAGAAAATAAATATTTATAAATTCTGCCAGTTTTACGCTCACTGATCTTAAAGACACATAGGATAGCATATAGTGCTGGATGTGTATAGGAGGAGCCGTTTGGAGCATCTCACTGACAACCTTGCTTGGAGGATGAAAGCAGAACTGCCCAGTTCTCCTTGGTTTT